CACTGCAGCCAGCGAAAGCTCAGGGGGTGCTGAGCACCCTTGCGTAGCGCTCAGCGCTCGAACGCAGCATCTGCTGCTACTGTTGATCCCACTCACCAATATAGAAGCCACAGAGCTTTCTTGTCTCTTCATTTAATCATTGTATATACAGAGCTGGGCTGTTATTTACATCCAAGTACACTTATCTCCGTATAACGTAGCAGCATAAGAGCAACAACTCGATTCCTATTTTGAGTGCAGAAACCCGGAGGTGATCTCCCTCCGGCATGACGCCAGCGACAGCAGGAACGGTGCAGCCGGCTGCCACCAGACAGTGGCAGAAGCTAAGTGGGACTGTGTGAAGCACAACAACGCGCGGTGGTTGCGGCATTCACACCCAGGGTGAGACAGGAGTGCTGGCTGCGCGAGGGGAGCTAGCCCAGCTGGGTCGGAATCTTACAGCGACAGCAATCAACCTTGAAATGGTGGTGGAGCAAAGCAACCCCACTCGCAGCAAGTGGTAAGAGGGGCTGCTTAGACCTTCCCTGCCGCCAGGATAGCCTGCTTAGCCCTCATGGATGGAAATTGCTGGAGCTGATCTGTGTCCTGTGTTTGCTCATAATGACCATATGGACATGCCTGGAGCATGACTTGGTTTCCTGCATATGTGTGATGTGCCACTAGAGATACTCCAGGTCTTCCCACCACTGGCCTGGCTCTCCCATAGGTCTTGGATCATATTGGCCAGCCCCATGCATCAGGTGTCCCAGAGCATCTCTAATGTCCCTGGACCTCATGTGTGGGCACAGACCTGAGACCCTTGTCACCACAGCTTTTGCTGTTGGCCAATGGCAAGTTAGAGATGACTTGGTGTTTCAGTGGAGACACTAACCACGTTTAAGATTTTGAGGGCAGTATTTGAAGAATTACACATGAGCCAGTACATCACACTGAATCCCATCAGCTCCAGAGCTGGCTGAGCAAAGATGGAGGAGACAGCTGGGTTATGGTCAAGTCCAAACTCTGAGGTGAGTTTCATGGGTCTGAAACATTCTATCAGCCCTGCCTGAGCCTCCAAAAGACAAGATGTCAACCTCCTTGGCCATTCCCAGGATATGTTATCAAAATGTCAGTCTGGCATCCCTCGGCTATCTTGTTCCACGGCTAAGATCACAGGGCCTCAATGCAGACCAAGCTTGTGATGGGAGACTTCATCCAGTCAGCAGGTGAAAGTGTTAAGGTCCGGAAAGAGCTAGGTGAGCTCCTGTCTGGGCCAAATCTGAGCACAAACAACAGGAACCCAGGTGTCCCACCATCATTTTGCTCCATCTCTGCTGAGCAAAGGGTAGTCACCTCCAAGAGAGACGGGTTACCAGTACGTGGCCGCACAGTGCTAGCACATGGGAGAGGACGTGATGGGAAGCAGTGCACCCAGTTGTGGGGAGGATTCCTGAAGAGCAGGAATCCTTCATGGTAGTTTGGCTGGGGCACTTGCCAAAAACATCTGTATTTTATGTTACCATAGCCTAGGGTGGTGGTTTCTGCAGGACAGCTGAGTGCTTAGGGGATGCTGGGCAAATCCCAAAAGAAGGAAAATCAACATCAGCAGGACAGTGTCTTAATGGTGTCTGCAAGGCTCTCTGTCATCCAGGGAACGGCCACAATTGAGGTTGCTCAGATCTGGATCGAAACTCTAAATCAAAATGATGCAGTGAAGAAAAAGGTGAGGGGAGTGTACCTTTCCTCCTCCAGGGTGAATGGCCACAATTGAGGTTGCTCCGATCTGGATCGAAACTCTAGATCAAAGTGATGCAGTGAAGAAAAAGGTGAAGGGAGTGTACCTTTCCTCCTCCAGGGTGAAGAATCTCTCCTTGCTGCTCCTGCTCCATCCCAAGGAGCATCTGCTGATGGATGCACTGTGAGGCCATTGAGTCCCTGGGCAGTCCAGCACCCTCCAGCGGTCAGACAAACCCATATGCCTCCAGGTTTCACATCAAGACACACTCATTCCTGGCACCACTGCAAAGAAGATCTAGGAAAAACATGATAGAGCAAACCTGGCACGCTGGAGGGCTTGGCTGACTGCTGCTGACCGGATCCAGGTACGTGGGGAGGCCAGACACCTGCTTCTCCTGCCCATGGATTAGCAAGGAGTTCTGGTGAGAAGGAGTCCCACAGGGTGATGCCAGTGTCCATTCCTCTTGGATATTAACGCAGCGGGGAATTGCAGTGTACACCTACTTGAAACTCAATCACTCTGGGTGTTCTTGAGCCACTGACTGAAACACTGATTCCTGCGATGGTTAGTGGGAAGCCAACTTCCATGTCAGTGGAGCCAGGAGGAGCAAAGGTGGAAATGACCCTCAATGTTACTGGACTCATCTTGTCGTGAGGACGGTTGCTGTTGTGTTTGCTTTTGCTGTGGTGGCCTCAAAAATACCATACGACCATCTGAGACTGAGCCTTTTGCAATTTTTCTGTGCTTTTCCCTTTTGCCCAAGGACTGCAAAGCCCTGCACAAGCACAGATGCCTCACAACTGCTTTGGGAAGAAAGACATCGTAGGTTTATCTGATGTGGAAAGAGAGGCACAGAAAGGCAAGATGACACAAGACACCAAATCTCCAACCCTGACACTGTGGGATGTTTGACTCTATCTTGAAGGCCCAATGTATGAAATGGAGGAAGCTCTAGGATTTGCCTGGCCAAGCGTAAGTTTGCGCAGCGCACGTGGGTGTCTCCCTTGGCATGGCAAAGTCTGCTGCTGGGTGGCACCGGCAGGCAGCTGCACTCCTTCCTCAGTGGGGTGCGCGGGCTGACGTCCAAGAGTGCTGAAGCATCTGCAGGATTCATAGTGGGACTCATCTCCACGCCCTTCAGGGATCGGACCTGACCCAGTCCTCCTTTCTATGGCTGGTCTGGTGAGAGGGGCTTAGCCTGAGCTGCCCTGGTGTTTTCCAGACTGATGGGTTGTGTCTTCCTTCAGCTCCAAAGGCAGAAGTGGTGGGAAAAGACAGGTACCGTCAACTAGGATCTTGAAATGCACTGGTCTCATCGCACATCTCGATTTTCTATGGTTCCAGGGATCGCTGCCAGCCACCAACAGTTCCAGCCCAGTAATACTATCTGTTGACCTTGGCTGGGGGTTGGTGGGACTAGTTGAAATCTCCTCTCTCCTGCTCAGCCTCTTTGCTCAGTCTGGAGCTCACCACAACAATGTTTGGTCCCAACTTGAAGGTCAGACCTGGTGATGGGGAGGGAGGAGCTTTCGGGGAAGGGAACATGGAAAATGAGTAGCTTCAGGGCTTTTGTTTGGAAGGTCTTCAGCCCCTCAACGCCCTGAGGTTCTTCCTTGGTATGCAGATGAAATGCGATCTGGCAAAACTCTCCCGAGAGTCACCTCACATGGACATCCCAGGATGTCCCAGTGCTAATTCTAGCTTTGTCCTTCTAGCTGCTCCCTAGGGCAAAGAGCCAAAATTCCCACTTGCGTTGATCCTTTGGCCACTGCCCAGTCAGTGCAAATCCCACTTTGCAACATTTTTTACTCTTTGCTGTGGATCACGGTAAAAAAGTGTCCGTGAAAGGGAGAGCCAGACCCACTTTGCCCACCTTTTAAAGCTGAATGCTGGTTTTTGATGCCTGCACCATTCTCAGCGACTGTGCGTATAAGATTTGGTTATTATTCTGCCAGGGCATAAGCACTTGCGTGATCTTAAGCATTTTCCTTTCTTACGACTGCTTTCATGCTCAGAGTTAGTAGCTGAGTATTTTCTTAAGCTGGGCCTGCGTTATCTCTGTCCCTGGAATATGTGATGCCGTGGGATCGCTATGGGTGCTGTTTGAAATGGCTGTACTGAAGGCTAATGCTCGCCCCGTTGCAATCTAGCGGTAATGCTGATACGTGCTCGCTGCAACTCCTGAGTGAGGCTCGGATGCCATTTTTTAAGTAGACCCTAGACCGAGAGAGTGCACCAAAGCATCACTCATTTGGGAATGGGGTAGCACAATTGCCCACTGTTGGGCAAATTGCTAAAGCTTCACTTTGCATAAACATCCCGCAGGTTTGGAGGCTTCCCCAAACCTTGATTCCGTTGACTTTGGGAAGTAAGAGGGCTTTGGGGGAAGGAAACTATCTTGGATTTCCAAGTTTTTTTCTTGCTGTAGCCAGCTTGAGTATATGGTAAGAATAGGGGGACCAAGGCAGAGGTGGGAGGGTATTTCTGCTCCCAGGGTTGATCACAACCCAGGAGAGAAGTGGAATGGCAGAAAGAAACCACAACGAAATGAAAACGCAGCATATGTCAAGCTCTGCTGAGCCTCCAAAGAGACTTCTGCTGGGCAATCATTCCTTGTTGTCTTATGTTACCAGGACAGCCTCATCCTGCTCCTCAAGGGTGTCCTAACCCCTTGCAACCATGGTAGCTATGGGATCGCAAGAGGGAGTCATCTGGTAGAGATATGTCTGGTTTCACTGAAATCAGTGGCCAACCTCCCACTGACTTCACTAAGACCACCGTCTAGACAGAATACTTGATGCAGAACAGTGAGTTTGCTCATGATCCCGAGAGCTTTGCTCCATTAGCCAATGTGGCTAAAAATGCCCTGAAAAAAAACCTGCCACTTTGAACTGTTTTGCTGCACGTAAATGCTTGGAAAACCAAAGAAACCAAATACAACCCTCCAAAACAACCAACCGAAGAGAGGTGAATTGTAGGAGAGGGGATGGCAGCCTCTAGCGAAGTAACAGTCACGGCAGATTACAAAAGAGCCAATTGACCCTCACCAGCGGTACTAGGAAAAAAACAAAAGAGATGTTGCATTATCGAGAGAAAAACAACGCACATCCACAGTTATTTTACCTACAGAGCACAGAAGTATAGAGTAGGGGTGACAGAGCTTGGTGTGAGCAGACTCACACCGCTCCTACGGTAGCGTATTATCCTTCGGAAGATCACTGGCTTGAGTAGGTAGTACATGCACGGCAATGAAAAAATTACGTTGTATTGTCTTGGTCCCACCTCAGATCTCGGTGGACTCTATTCGCTCGAGTCTGGAGGGGGTCCATGGTTTTTTCTCCTCGGTGTGCGGGGGGCTGGTGGCCTTCGTGTTCATCTCGTTCACCTTGTGCTCCAGGAGCTGGTTCTTCTGGTACATCTCCACGTAGTTCAGTTGCAGCTGCTTCTGGTACTTGATGACTTTCTCCTTCTCTTCTTGCCATGTGCGCCGCTCCTCCTCAAAGTCCATCACCTGCTGCTCCCGCTGCTGCCGCTCCAGCTTCAGCTCTGTCTGGAGCCGCTCCACCTCCTTCCGCAGGGTGTTGACGCTGTCCTCGCTCTGCCGCTGCATCTTGGCTTCGTCACTCTCGCAGGCCAGCGGGTCCCGCAGCTTCTCACCAAGGTCCCCACCAAAAGGCCCCGGAGGTCCCATGCTGGCAATTGTCCGCTTCAGGCCGGAGACCTCAAGCTCACAGTGGTTCAGTTTTTCCCTCAACACCTGGACCTCACTCATCTTCCTCTGCAGTTCGCTCTCACAGATCTCCAGGTTGACGCTCTTGGAGCTGTAGGAGTCCTTCAGGGTAAGGATCTGCTCCTCCTTCTCCCGAAGGAAGTTCTTACCTTCCTTGAGCTGCGTCCGCAGTCCCACGATCTCATTCAGCTTCTGGGAGACGTCCGCTTGGGAGTCCTTCAGCTGCTGCTTGAGCAGGGAGATCTCACCCGCCTTCTGGCACACCTGCGGGGAGAGCATCCATGAGGCAGGAGGAAGGCAGTGAGGAGCCGCCACCGCTGCTTGTCCCCACGCTGCCTGTGAAACGTCTGCATGGCCGGAGGCTCAGGTAACGGGAGGGGACAGCCGGTGACGCTGCTCAAGGACTGAGTTCCAGTCTTCACAAGGACCCAGACCATGCCAAAGACCTAGAGGTTGTCCCCACATTTGTGGGGGAGATTTGGTGTTTCTTCCTGGCTCTCAGGGACCTGATGCTGTTCCCAGCTGGAGCTGAGCAAACAGCTAAGCTAAGTGCTGTGGTCCTCACTGGTGGTGAGCAGACACCGATGCTTCCCTCCCTGCATTCATCTTACTCACCTAACCACAAGCCTGCAGTGCTTGACCTCAAATCCTCTGCTCTCAGCAGTTTTCCCACTGACCTCAATGGGATCTGGACCTTGGACAAGCCTGAGACAGAAACATCTCAGAACTGCAGACCACCCGGGCTCTCCTGAGCACAGGGAGTGTAGGACAGGATGCAGAAACAGTAGATAACTACTTTTTCTTGTCCTGTGACACTTTCCCTCCCAAAAGAAGACTCCTGAAGAACCCAGTTGACTAAATTTTAGGGTTCACTTCACTGGGGACAGTCCAGGGACTGGTAGCTATTTAATTCTTTTGGGGCAGGGCATGAAGAGTGACAGCCCCTCTACCAAAGATCAAGGAGAGAGCTGCAACCCCCCCTTGCTGAAATGGGACTACCATGCACTAACCTTGGGCACTTGACTGGCTCAAGTCTCACCCATGGGGTAAGGTGCACAAGCCCAGTGGAAATACCCTTGCTGCAGTGTATATTTGCGTTACATAGGTGTCACCATTCAATATGACACTCCTCTGCACCTGCGTACTCCACCAAAGGTGACAGTTGCGTGAATAGTTGTGGGTGTTGGAAGTGAACCATAAAAATGACCAAACCCTCATTTTCCCATGAACTCCGTGGTTTTCAGGGCTCTGCAGTGGCAGATCTGATCTGTCTGCTGTGGGTGATTGTAGAGACAACCAGTCCCTACCTATGCTGGCAGAAGTCTGGGCTGGGGAGTGGCATCAAAGAACCATCAGTGATCAAAGAGTATAGGCATAATTAAAAATAGACTTGGTAGCCACCTCCAGACCAGGGTGTCCTGTCCTCCTGAAACTCCTGTCTCTTGTCATACATTAAATGCTTGGCCTTTCATCCCTCCTGTGGTGCCTGCAAGGTCCCTTGCTGCTCTGCTCCAGTTGGGTCAATGTTCCTCAGACAAACTCTCCTCTCCGCTGCCTTCATTGCAACTTCCAAGCTTCTCTGCTATAGAGGGCTTGCCTGGTGCATAATGTTGAGCGAGACCTTGAAGCTCAGCTATCGGGATAGTCCAGTGCTCACTACGAATGGCTGAATAGCTAGGAGATGTACCCAGTCACTTCCTACTGGTAGCAGCTTTCCCTGGAGCTGACAGCCATGGTGGTTCCCCCTGGAGAACCCACATCCACACCAGCACTCGTCTGCAGCAGATGCAGAACCGTATTGCGCTTGTTAGCTGTAGTTAAAGTGGTGTAGTTACTGCCTAGCTAAAAAGAATGCACAATTTACTGAAAGTGCTCTCCGTGGGCTAGCTCTTCCCAAAAGGCAGAGAAATACATGATGAAGGAACAGCTTGGATAGGAATCGACTTACAGATTCAAATACTTAAATTTTGGCCTCTACTTGGGTGCTGTGGAGATCTAGGCAGTACAGTGCATGGAGCCTGGAGAGCAAGTCAACAAGTGTAGGTGCCTACAAATTTTAGGTGTCTTGATCCATAAGCTGAGTCCCTATCTTTACATCGATACCACTGGGTTAGCTGTTGCAGACAGAACTATAGCAGTGAAGCAAATAATCAAAAGCCCATCTGCAGTTTTACTGGTGCAAAATCAGGGAACTTTCCAGACCTAACTTGTTGGAAGACACAAAAGACCAGGACAGAGCAGCTGGCCAGAGGAGGCACCATGTGGGACAATGAAGCCTGCTTGTTCTGGGATGTAACTTGCAGAGATTTTATAGCAAGCCTCTAATAAGGTCTGCTGAACATCTGCAAATAGCACATTTCAGAGCCTAATTAATCCCAGCTTCATTGACTTTCCATCAGGATTAGCAGAATAGGGTCTTCTTGATTCTAGAGCTATGTTTTGCCTCTGCGTTCTTAATAAATTTAAAGTTTCTAGCCAGTCCATGGAAGGATTAAAATTCTTCACATGATCAAGCTGGAAAAAAAAATATATTAGCACTGGCTATACAAACAGACTTTGATAAAATGTTCTAAAAATAGAAACAGTAGAAAAAATATGTAAGACTCAAAAGGAGAACTAGAAAGAGGAATTTGCCTTTCAGCCTTTTAAGAGAGATAAACTTATTAGCAACTGAAAACAGTGTGTTACAATGGAAAGCATGAGGTAGACTTGGCTATCGGTATCATTCTTAGCTCACTTGCTTTATATCTTAAACAAAAAAAAATCAAATATTTGAAAAGCGGTTTCAAGGTTTGCCCAAACCCACATGTTAGAAAAATTTAATTAAAATAGACTTAAACCCAATTTTGGTACGCACAAATACCTGTATGGAAAGACCTGTATTCACTGAAACTAGATTCAAATGTCACACACTGGAGTGACCTGACTCTGAAGCCAAATTATTAACCAGCGCAGGAAGCATGCACAGAAAAATTGTGCTCATTTTAGTTTAATTAAAAACTACAGGCTTGGGGCTCAGACAAATGAAGAGGTGACTGAAGTGTCATCTGTTACCTGGAGGCCACCAACCCGTAGCCATTGTCTGTGGGGTCCACTTAGGGCAAATGGGAGGTATTTTGGGCTATTGGAGCCCTCAGTGAAAACCTCACTCAAGGTCTGTTACAAAAAGACTCTTACCTCCCACTTGGTCTCTTCAATCTTTGGGAGAAACTCAGCCTGTTCCTTCTTGAAAGCCACAAATTTCTTCTCTAGCTCCTCTCGTTGCTGGAGGAGTTGTCCCATATCATCTTGGAGTTTTTTTTTCTCTTGCTGGAGCTTGAAGATTTGGAGCTGCAAGGCCTGCTGAGCCCGCTGCGCCTTTTTGGAGACCTGTTGCAATTTGTTGGCATAGTTTTGCCTCAGGTCCTCCATTTCCCTCTCCCAGATCTTCTGTTTCTCCTCGAACACTTGGAAGATGGCTGCCTCGCTTTTGTCCAAGTTCCTTCGCATCTGGAGGACCTCCTGCTCCTTCTCCCACAGCCGATCTTCCAGGTCTTGGATGATGTCGTCCGTTGAAGGCGAGTGGAAAGGCATCGTTTCATTGAGATGGTTCAGTCTGTTGAATGAAGAGGTGCTCTTGCTTGAAGACCGCCCGCTGTCTGAGGTAGATATCCCGTTGTATCCCGCGATGTTCTTGTCCACGTAGGTTGTACCGATGCGGTTGATGTGGCTTGTGGAGGCGCTCATTGGACCCACGTGCTGGCTGTAGCCTGTCCCGTACGTGGGCAGGCTCGTTAACGAGTTACGGCCTGAATCCGAAAGGCCCCCCACTTGGTTTGTAGTCCTGTTAAGGCTGCTCTTGTCGAGTCCACTTTTGGGTGCGGACGGGCTATTGCTGTTGGCATGGTTCAAGCTCTTTCTGTTCTCTGTCACCCCGTTGCTCTGCGGCGGGCAGAGGTTCTGCATGGAATGGAAGTTTTTAGGAACTACTGGTTTAAAGGCTGAGGGTCTAACTAAGGGCTCATTGCTCTGCAAAAGGAAAAAGGACCACGCATCAAACATAGCAGGAAGCTTGGTAACAACACACAAAAGAGATACATCAGCACAGGCTGGGGCTGATGGAGCTAAAACACCTTGGGCTAGCTCCGTATTTCTCAGCCTTATTACACCCTGGGCCATTTGGGATTTAACATGAGGGACCTGTGGTCACTCGTAGGGCAACACCTTCTGTTTCCTTGCCCCAGTTGAAAAAAAAAAAAAATCTTGACTCACCCCAAATCTGTGTGCATTTTTCCCTGGAATACTCCTTGGGTCCTCTTAGTGCTCTTTGCAAGAAGGAGGGCTGCCACCTGCCTACCAGACCTGATCAAAACAACTCTTTGATTTTGGCAGATTATATTTTGAAGGACTTCTAGCATTGAGGGTGCATTTCCCTTTTGCTGAAAACTGAATTGAACCCTTGGATTAGCAGCCATTTTGCCCCAGGAGCACCTTGTTTCCCTCCTGCTGGCAGTCATCTCTCCCCTGTGTGGACATCACGTCCTGCTTATGTTTGGACAGGAATAGGAGCTGTGACCCTAGCAGCGACAGCGGGCAAGGAACATGCTGAAGCTGTTCTTCATCTGAATGTTTGTGTTTCCTGCGGCCATAAGCAATGCTGGAGGGAGAACGGACTGCAGCTGTAAAGGATTTGGAACGGATTTTAAAACCTTGAACATTCCTCACCCCATGAATGCACCTACAGAAACAAAATTTTCCTCAAAATGGGATTGAGTCTCCCCTACTGCAGGTTGGGTTTCAGGTGAAAATTAACCCAGAGGAAGCTGCTTTGTATTAGCAAAGATGTTTTGAAAATGCCTTCGAGGAGAAACAGAACAAGCCCTGGTGAGCAGGCAAGGTTGGAGACCAAAAACATGGCGCCTGGCATGTGGGACTAAGGTGGACTACAGCGGCCGGTGGATTAACAGCCCAGGAGAAAAGGCCACCAAACGCTGCAGAAATAATACCGCACAAGGCAGCGTCCCCAGGGCATGAATTATGGGAGTCGCTGGAGCAGAGCAGCAGGCTATCTAAAACGCCTGGCCTGGGAGATGTTTGCTCCTCAAAGCCGATATGAGCCATGAGGACTGGGCTTGGATGGGTGATAACACTTACAAGGGTGGTTTTCAAGACTTGTCACTTTGTCCCTCATAAGGGGCACAGATGCTCATAGCTGCTTTCAAGAACACCTTTTGGTGGCAGTGAGGAGGTTGCCTATAAATGGCACAAAACATAAGAGTGGGACTCAGATGCTGGACTTATCAAAATGAGAGCTGAATCCAGCTCCCTCTCCATCAATCGGGGAGGTAGGCACAGCATCTCGGGTAGGTTGGAGTAGCCGGTGGCTTAAATACAGGCTTAAATGAGCTGGAGACTTAGCTGTAGAAGACTTGTGATCCTGCTCTTGGGTTTCTCAAGAACTAACATGCCCCTTTGTTCAATCCCCTGAAAGTAATAAGAATTATATTATCTGTACATAAAAGTGATGCCATCTACATAATAAGAATTAGACTGTCAGGATTGCACCATTGCCCAAGGCTTCCTGGTCTGTGTTTTTAGAGATGTGCCACGGTCATCACAGTGCTCCGGGAGGTGGGGATTCTCACCTGGTCTAGTTTGCCGGAGATTGGCAATATCTTTGGTGGGTTACTGGGCTCTCGGTATTGGGGAGGAGGCGGCATGTTCTTCTCGTTGTTGTTGGTCACATTCCCACAGATGTCCATCTTCACCTTCTCACTCTTGCGCAGATCGCCATTGATGTAGAGGGAATTGGAGACTTTCTCTGACCTGTATGTCTTCTCCTCGCCGGAGTAGCGGTTGGAGATCTCCCGCGTGGAGTACCCGTTGCGAGACCCCTCCGTCTGCCGGCCGCTGCTCTGTGTCCGGGTCCCCACGCTCTTCATGGCGAACTCTTGGTCGTTGGCGACTCCGCTGCCTACGCTCCCCATGGTGCTCTGGGAGGCGGGCTGGGATGGCTGGGGAGCAAAATCGTGGAAGTTCTCCGGGCTGGGGTAGGTTGGGTCACTAAGAATGGGCAGCGTCTCTAGCGTGGCCATGGCAGCGCAGAGGTGAGGTGGAGGCACAGGTCAGTGGCACTGGGAGAAGGAGGAAAAGGAAAGGACTGTTAAAGAGATGCCTTTTATCTACCATACTTCTTGCAGATCGGCATCGTGCAGAGATGAGCAAATCTCTGGGCTGGGTGATGCAAGGACAGAAGCTGTCGTGTTTCAGTATATGGTATGGAGCAGACGATGGGGCTGTCCTCCTCTCCGTGATGCCCAGCCCCACTTGGAGGAGCAGCGTGCTGCTCTTAAGCCTCTCAGTCCAAGGGTTGGGTGCTCCCAGGGGAGGGGGTTGCGTGGGTTTTAGTGGGCACAGCTCTACAGCATCGGTTGGACACAACCATTTGCAGTTGCCAAACTTGATTTATTTCTGTCACTTTTCCCAGGTTTGAACAAGTTTGTGTGGCCATGGGGATGGAAGGTTTCTGGCCCTGGTCTGTCTGTAGGCTCATACGCTATTGCTCCCTCCAGCGCATCCCTGAGGATTCAACAGGGCTTAAGCAACACACTTTCCATCTCTTCCTTGCGAGTGTTGTCACATGGACTTGAGTTTTAAAAAGATGCTTTTGTCCAAGTGTCATCCTAAATTTTGTTTTAAACCTTTATTCCCCTATTCCGTTTTATTCTTACCTAGGCTGTGCCTTGGATTGGCCAAAACTAGGGCATGGGAAGTGGATAATGTGCAGATAATGGTTTTAAAAGTTGTCTTTGACCTGGTCAAAGACATTGGGACCAGTGCTCATGTGTCTGGATGCTCTTCCTCAGCTCCATCACCATCACAAACCCCAGTCCTGGGATTTCAGCTCTGGCTTCATACGCACCCAGGCCTACTCACATCTGTGTTTTCGGGAAATTCTCCAAATACTGGTTGTTGCATTGGTGCTGAATTTATTATCAGCTGAAGCAGTCAAGGCCCAGAGCTACTGGTGCTAAGCAGGTTTCACACGGGGACAATTAATAACTTCCCTAAAGGTCTTTTGAAAGTCTCTTCTGAAAGTTGCAGCTGAAAATCAAGCTGTTTCTGCACTCTTGGACCCAGCAGTCATGGATCTGGTCTGCACTGTCCCACTACCTCCCTGAGGGTGACAAAAGCCTCTGCAGTCATGCCCCAGCATGGACTGGGTCTAGGAAAAAAAACCAACATGGGTTTATTTCTCTCAACAGAATTTCTTTAGTTACAGAAACCCATGGGTTTTCCCTGAAGGGTGTACCCATAAAATATGAGCACTGGGGAAGCTGCTCCGTGTTGAACTGAGCTGGAGCAGAAGATGGAGATCTTGCAGAGAGTGCATTCCCCATGATTCCCATTCCCTCCGCTGAGGTGTTAACTCGATCCTCTGTAATGCCATCAGCTCCACAAAGGTGTAAAATCTTATTTAAGGAAATAAAAAGACCCACAACAATTTTTTTTGGTTGCCTCATTGGATAATGGAGAATTTGAACTTGTATCAACTACAGATCTTGTTAGCTGAGGGAAGGGAGAAGATGCATTGCAAAGTTTGGGTGATTGCAGTGAATCCTGGGGTCTCTGTATTTGAGGAAAGACTCTCTCAGCTCAATTCAGTCACTGGTGCATGAGTGTCCAGTGTCCTCCCAGTGCCACTCCAGAAAGGCTCAGGGCTGCCTGGAGTCCTACTTCATATCTGTGCAGGTGTCTCTGATACACCTTCAGACTAGGCACAGCTGAATGAAGCCTGGAGGAGCAGGGTCAGTGGCACGTGGACAGCTGTAGACACTTAGCTGACCAGTGGCCACCCAACCCTACTGAGTTCATTGGCTTGGTCCCCATGGGCCAGAAAGGCTGCTTTTTTTTTTTGTCCCAGGAGCCCTCAGTTCCAGGTTTCCCCGGATAAACCATCCTGGCAGCGTGGGGACTAAAGCAGGATTTAGGGGCAGTGGGAGGTGCAGGTTCCCTCTGGATAAAAGAGGGATAATAAAAGTGATGGCCTGTGGAGACAGGTTCAGTGATGGGGGGGCTCAGGCCGGGCCAGCAGGTAGGGGAGATGGAGAAAATCCCCATTTCAGTGGTGGTTTCCCTCTTCTTGAGGTAGGGATGTTAAATCAGCCCTCCCCAAGTAAAGCAGGAGAGCTGGGTTTATTTCCCTGGAGAGCTAGCTTATGGTCTAGAGCTCGGCTCCGATGTGGTGTCTCACGGGGTCTTGTTATTTGCACTAATCGTAGAATCATAGAATCATTAAGG